TTCAGTTTAACATGAAATAATTTTTTTTTTTTTTTTTTTTTGAGACGGAGTTTCGCTCTTGTTACCCAGGCTGGAGTGCAATGGCGCAATCTTGGCTCACTGCAACCTCCGCCTCCTGGGTTCAAGCAATTCTCCTGCCTCAGCCTCCTGAGTAGCTGGGATTACAGGCACGCACCACCATGCCCAGCTAATTTTTTTGTATTTTTTAGTAGAGATGGGGTTTCACCATGTTGACCAGGATGGTCTCGATCTCTCGACCTCGTGATCCACCCGCCTCGGCCTCCAAAAGTGCTGGGATTACAGGCTTGAGCCACCGCTCCCGGCAACATGAAATAATTTTTTAGGGTAAGTATGTTTTTCTGAAATTCAAATTTGGGCATTTTTTGGTGTGTCTTTTCTAAAGCTGGCCACACTAAGAGAATAAGAGAATAAGCATCTTGAGAAAGGTAAGCTTGCTGGGCAGAACCCAGTTGAGGCTGGTGACTGAATTTATAATACCTATTAATACCCAGCCGAGTGCTTTTCCTCAGCATGGCTCAGCTGCCAAGGTGTATGTAAGGCAGAGGCAGAGCACTGGGTTTATCCAGAGGTGGGATTTTACCAGGTAAGACACACAAGAGAATTTACAGCAGGGTTTCCAAACTTGAGTTTGCAACTGTGTCACCTGGAGGACTCCTTAAAACAGATTTTTTTTTTTTTTTTTTTTTTTTTTTTTTTAGACAAGAGTCCTGCTCTGTTGTTCAGTCTGGATTGCAGTGGCACAATCTCGGCTCACTGCAACCTCCTCCTTCCAGGTTCAAGTGAGGCAGGCAGATCACTTGAGGCCCGGAGTTCGAGACCACCCTGGTCAACATGATTGTCTCTATTAAAAATACAAAAATTAGTTAGGTGTGGTGGTGGGGGCCTTTAATCCCAGCTACTTGGGAGGCTAAGGCAGGAGAATCACTTGAACCCAGGAGATGGAGGTTGTAGTGGGCCAAGATTGTGCCACTACACTCCAGTTTGGGTGACAGAGTGAGACTGTCTCAAAAAAAAAAAAAAGAGCAAGAGAGAGAGAAAGAGAGAGAAAAGAAAGGTCAAAGAAGGAAAGCTGAGAGAAATGAGAAAAGAAGCCAGGCCCTTGTTGCCAGGTGAAGATCTTCAGGAGCAAAATTATTCCCCTTAAGAATCTTCATTACCAAGCCCTTTCTAAATCTTTGGTTATTTCATGGAACAACTCATTTTATCCAGTTCGCCAAGGAATATGGCCTTAAGTGCAAAGGACCTAGACTTTATTAAGTATATACTATATGGTAGTTGCTGGACTGTTACTCTCCATGGGAAATAGATATGCAAAAAATGCAAAGTGTTCCATTTAAAGTGTATATTTTTCTTTCTTTTTCTTTTTCTTTTTCTTTTTTTGAGACCGAGTTTCGCTCTTGTTACCCAGGCTGGAGTGCAATGGCGCTATCTCGGCTCACTGCAACCTCCGCCTCCTGGGTTCAAGCAATTCTCCTGCCTCAGCCTCCCGAGTAGCTGGGACTACAGGCACGTGCCACCATGCCCAGCTAATTTTTGTATTTTTAGTACAGATGGGGTTTCACCATGTTGACCAGGATGGTCTCAATCTCTTGACCTTGTGATCCACCCGTCTTGGCCTCCCAAAGTGCTGGGATTACAAGCGTGAGCCACCGCACCCAGCCTCTATTTTTATTTCTTTATGCTTTTACGTATCTTCTAAATTTTCTACAGAATGATTTTCCTTTACTTATTTTTAACTTTTATTTTGAAATAATTTCAAATTTACAGAAGAGTAACAAAATAGTACAGACAATTCTTGTATATGCCCTTTATTTGGACATCTTACATAACTGTGGTACATTTATGAAAATTAAGAAATTAACATCAGTACAGTGCTATTAGCAAAACTACAGATGTTATTTAGATTTCACGATTTTTTCCACTTATATCCTATTTCTTTTCCAAGATCTACTGCAGGATAGCACATTGCATTTAATGAATTTCTTCCATAATTAAAATAATTTTAAAAAGGTATATGTCTCCTCCCTTTCCATTAAGGCATTCCTTGCTGTTTTATCAAGGGAATAAATAGGAAAATGTTTTACTGACCATGGAGTACAGGGAATACATAGAGATAGACATCTCCTTGGTAAACCCAGAAAGGAGGTAGGAGGAATTTTAAATAACAATCATGAAAAATCCTCATAAAGTCTAATAACATAAAAAAATACTTATGGCTGTATGGTAGGTGGGAAAAAAAGATAAAAGACTTGATTTCAAGATGTAAAACTATGCAGATACCTTTTTTGAAATAAATACATATTTTAAATTATGGAATAATTTTGACACATATATCTCTATATCACAAAGCGTTTTCACAGATAGTTTCTTTTTGATATTTAGGGCTGGTTATTTGTATTTTCCTAAGATGCCTCAATGTGCTCATAAATGTCACTTTTTACATTCTACAAAAAGAGTGTTTGGGCTCTGGTGAATCAAAATACAAGTTCCAATCTAACAAAGCATTTGAGATATTAAACAGCACATCAGAATGCACTTCACAGATCTTGTTTCTTGTTTTTTTTTTTTTTTTTTGAGACGGAGTTTCGCTCTTGTTACCCAGGTTGGAGTGCAATGGCGCGATCTTGGCTCACCGCAACCTCCGCCTCCTGGGTTCGGGCAATTCTCCCGCCTCAGCCTCCTGAGTAGCTGGGATTACAGGCACGCACCACCATGCCCCAGCTAATTTTTTGTATTTTTAGTAGAGACGGGGTTTCACCATGTTGACCAGGATGGTCTCAATCTCTTGACCTTGTGATCCACCCACCTCGGCTTCCCAAAGTGCTGGGATTACAGGCGTGAGCCACTGCGCCCGGCATTTCTTGTTTTTAGGACTGTATATTCTTTTTTCTTTTCCTAATAGGCCCCAATTGGTTTAATAATGCCACTTCGGACGGGTCCAAGATGGCCGATTAGGAGCAGCTCAGGACTGCAGCTCCCAGCAAAAGTGCAGAGGGTGAGTAGATGCCGCATTTCCAGATGCCCTGGGTGAACTAACTGATTTAGATGAATACACACTGTTGTATAAATGGACTGAAGGATTAGATGATGCAATGGGCACCTTTAAAATGGGTGTGAAGTGACAAG